GAAAAAAGTATGTGCTATACAAAAAAAGGAAGTGCTTATGTAATCCTTAACATCCACACACAAAGCAACTCAATCATGGCATGAACACAGTGCAACAAAACTGAGTATTAATCACAGGCAGGGAAATTACCATAGGCCAACTCATCACTCAACATAGACACTGATAACACAAACAACTGGAAAGCAAATACTGAAAAGAATTCAAAGAAATAGATAAAATAAAATTATAATTCAATCCTGAGATCATGATCTTGCTCATGCTGTTCCCATGCACTACTTTTAAGCACACAATTACCGCAGTTGCTTTAATTACACTGCAGGATTACATCCTATGTAAATATATTAAAAGGACCATTGTACACCAAACAAATAAGAAAAGTTTCTTGTTGCAGATTAATAGAAATAACAAGGTTGTTTCCAAATTTGCTTGCAAAGAAAAATTCCTGACATTTTAAAGTATCAGTCTTGCTACCATAGTTCATTTTTTTTTTTTTAATCTTACAAAAGCAAAAGTTAGTAAAAGTACATTCATAACTACATTAGAACACAAGGTTCCAAAACACTGGAACACAATTGTTCCAAACATGCACATGGGCAGGTTTACTTACAGAGAATTCCAAGAAATTTAGACTGGCTACCTCTCTGGGCTGATTGTCTCATCCTTCCTGCTTTATTTCTCTCTGATGTATTCACATTGCAAGTTGCATTTTGCCTTAAGTAGGTTTTAGATCAGCCTTTAAACTCTGATAGCTCTTTCCCTCAGTAAAAGGCAAATGGTAATAATAATTACCATTATCAGTGTGTTTTCTATGATATATGTATAAAAGCATATACATATTATATCCTCATCTACACATCACCAAGATGTTTCATCTGATCCCAATATACTGCGGGATTTATTTGTTCCTACATATATTCTAAAAGTGAAGGAACACTGACACTTGTAAATTAAAAATCCATAGGAAGGAGAGAGGCAAGTGGGAGCAGGAAATCTGCCATCGGTATTTCCACAAAGTATCTGCAAATGGAATTATTGTAAGAACTTTGATCCTTTGTCAAACATTTAAGCTACACAGTTTTCAAACATCCGCTTATTCACTTGAAGAATGCGCTAGAAACTTATCCTTTACAATTAGTTTCTGAGACATGAGAAAATTACATGGTATCATCTTGAGTGCCACTTTCCATTCTGATCATTCCTCCCCCTGAAGGAAAGATTTTTTTAAGATTTAATTAAAATATTAGTTTGTAAGATTCTGTATCACAGGTAAAATACTGTCTTGTCCTGTATCTCCCACTGGAACAGTATGTTGACATAAACATAAAACTTCTTCTAGCAAAGTTTTTAAATACAACTCAGCTCAAAGTGAGAAAATTTTATCATTTACTTGACGAAGTCTCCTGTTCTGTGCACTCACAGATCCCCAAAGTGAAACACAAACTGCCACAGCAAAGTGCACGTCTACAGAGGAGGCAGAATTATACTATTCCACATAATCACTTAATCTGATACATGCTTGTGCATCACTCAATTCTCAATTCACTTTAAACTGTGCAATGAAGCAAATTCCTACCAGATACTACAAACAGCTGAGATAACATGCCTGATGATCTAATCCAAAATATGAGTTACTAACACCTGCATTCTTAGCTGCTCACATCAGAGGCTGCCACAGTAACAGCCACTTTTTAAGCTCTGGGTTAGGAACGTGCCTATGCTGCTATTTCTCACCTGGAGCTGGTTCTCCAGAAATTGAGATGGTGTTCTGAGAGAACACAGTGGCATCTAAAGCACTAACCCTAATTTTAGAGCAACTGAAGGGGAATGGTTTAACTATGATCAGGCATAAGAAACTTTTTGCAACATAAATGGGAAAAGCTGCACAGAGTTGTAGTTCACCACCATGTTGCTTTTACTATGGGGAGTTTAATACAGAAATGAAGCTGAATCACAGAGCTACCATGGCAGAACTCCATGAACACTAACAAATACATAGGAAAAGAGTAACTGGCCACACACTGGGGACTGTATGACACACCACAGCAACCAGCAACCCCCCTGATAGCAAAACACACACACAGATTAATGCATACTGCACAGGAAGGGTAGCTACATCAACTCACACCATGAACTTCATCTCAAAATACTGCATTTAACTTTTAAATAAGGTTTGAGAGAATTTACAACACTTTGCTCACTGACACGACTATATTTTATTAAGGACAAAAATGGGTTAAAATACAAACATTACACTGCTTTGACTGTATCTAGTCAAGAGGAAAAACTCTAATTATGAGATTGTGCTGTCAAATAAATGCAAATTCACATCTTTCATATTCTGGGTTAAAAACTCAAACTCAAGTCTATTCTAAATTAAAATCAATATTTGAAACATTTCAGTTTCTAGTAATAGGCAACAACCAAAAGAATCGAGTTATGAAATGTACTGTTAGGAGTATAATGAATTATTAAATAAAACTTGTGAAAGTAAGGCATTTATATTGCACACATTTAAATATCAATTAGGAAAAAAACCAATAAAGGATGATGAACTAACTCATATCTGTTTTACAACCAATCCTCTCTAAAACTGACTGAGGATAAAAGAGAAACTAAGCTTGCAATGTAAATTTCACTGTTTGAAATAGGTTAAAAATTTCAATTCATTAACTAGCTGAAATTTACAATCTCGAAGCTTAAAATTAATAAGAACTGCATTTATAGAAGTAAATGAAATAGAACAGTGGCACCCGCTATGCACAGCATGATAGTTACCTCCTAAAGAAAAAATCCAAGGATCTGCTCAGAGAAAACACAGAATTGCAGAAACAGAAAAAAAAAACCACCAAGAAGTTTGTTTTAAGAACTCCATATTCCTATATTGCAAACCATTTCTTCATAGGAGTAATGGCAAATTATGCATCAACATGTGTCTAAAATGTATTAAAACTGTTCCAGTTTGTATTTTCAGTGTACCACAGTCATGCTGGCCAGACTGCAGCCTTGCCTGCCAGGCTGAGGAGAGATGCACGACCACCTATCCCACCCTCCTCATGCAGCACACAAGTGGCTGTGAGTGCACATGTGCAAGCTGACTTATCCAGAAGACTTGCACTTCTATCTGCAAGGGGTTTACTCAGCTGAAAACACATTTCTAACACTCACCTGAAGGGAAGATTACAGATATGTTTCTGGAAGTTGATACAGGCTGAGGTTGTATTGAAATAAAAACATGAAGGAATCAGGCAAGGTATTAAAAAACTCCAAACAGCAAACACCAAACACCTGTTAAGAATTAAATGAGGACCGACTGTTTTGTCTATGTCTACAGCCCTCCAAATCACCACAACATCCATTCCAACCTACTGAAGTACTACAGAAGCTGTGGGGTGGAGATAGCAAAGCCTTCAAACAATCATTTAGAGATACTCAGACTTTAAAAGGACCTTGCAAGCCGTAACTATCTCATATCCTCCCTATCCTTTCCAAGTAAACTTGAAATATAATACCCCAGAAAAATACAGCTTGAAAGAGACTAATCTTTCTTCAAACATACAGCTTTTTCTCTATGCTGGAGAGGTTCTAAGTATTTCACAGCAATAGTCACTGTAGATGGTGTTATCCAGGATGAAACACTGTCAGCTACTTTTGATGGGTAACAACAGTTGTTATTATTTATCTAGGATTCATTACATGCTGATCTGAAATGGCCAGCGCACATGGAACTAGCTGACTGATAAGCACTTGGAAGATACTGCTGAGTAGTTTGCTGATGCCAAGAACCATTGTTACTGTTCAAGATGGATGGCTGCACACATTTGTAGGTAGAGAGGCATCCTGCTGTTCCTGAAGGACTTGCTGAGAAAGGACAGGCTATAGCTTGATCTACATTAACAACATAGGAGTTCTTTACATCAGAGAACTCCACGCTCTAAAGCACTGCCCTCAGCTGCAAGATGTGCAATCCCAGAGAGCAGCTTCCCCTTAAATCAAGATTCTGAAGTCCCAACCTGTTCCCTGCTCCCTAAACTACTGCTTGGTGCAGAGGCCATGTCCAGGCTGAGACTCCCCAGTGAGTTACTGTTGGATGCCCATTCTAATGCCCAGTGTCCTGACGGCTGCCTGCAGTCAGAGTAGGAGGGCTGCATGAGCTCCAACTCCCACAAACACACTTCCTTGCCGTTCCCTAATAAAGTTCTTGCCTTCTACTCATGTAGAAAGCTAGAGCAACACTGACAGTTCCCTCTAAATCTCAAATGCCTTCCATGATACTGAATAAAACCCAGTCACTTGTACCACAGCTCAAAAGACAACAGAGGCAAGATGCACAATCACGGCTAGTTTCCTCCTGAACACATTTATCTTCAAATATGAGAACTTAATATTAATTACAGTAAGAGAAAAAAAAATTAGAAAATTGGTATAGCAAAGAAATCCACTTGAGCCCTTCCTCTGACCCCCTCCTCTTCCCTCCATAAACATCCCCAAGTTACTGGGTATTTTTTAAATCCCTCTTTCCCTTTTGTTTGATGGTTTCTTTAATGGATGAAAGAAAAGATGACTATACTTTCCTTCCCTTAAGATGAACCTTCAGAGTATATAAATTGCTTGAGTAAATAAAAGAAAGGAGGGAATTACTAATTTAATGCTTTTCCATCTCTTGGGGGAAAAGCCCATGTAATTAACTGTAATGAGATTAAACTAACTTGTTGTTATTAATTTTTCAATGCTGAAAACTAAATCTGAGACCCATAAGACTGTGCATTAACCAGCTTTATCAACATTTGGCTTGCATCCTTCAGTTTTTACACCAGTTTTGAAGGAAAATTATTAACTTCTTTGAGTTACAAAGTCACTCAGAAGTATTAGAAATTGAATCTGGTCCCTTTAGGTGGGAACGCCAGATTCATCCATAACAGAAGACTGTGAATGGGTGGAACCAAAAGCAACGAATGCTATTCAAAGCAAATAAACAGAATAAAAATTATTAAATTCTTACCAAAACTTTTTTCCATTACTTCTTTCTGACACATATCTTGAACATTCACTGTACAATTCACAATGAACTCTGGAGAAGAGCAGTCATTATTTAGCTGGAACTCCTCACACTGGTAACACTGTATTTGCAAGGCCAAACCTGGAACAGATAACATTTTGTTCAAAATCATACAATGCTTTAGGCTGGAAGAGACCTTGTAGATCATGTCTTTCCAACCCCCTGCCACACGTTGCTTAAAGCCCCATACAACCCAGCATGAGTAGTAGTAATAATATTAAAATAACAATAAAAAAAAAGAACCAACCACAAAACCAAACCAAATAACCAACACGTGCCAGGAATCTTCCTTATCTTTCCCTCTTCGCATTTCGCTGTTCCTAACTACTCCACAGCTCAGCGAAAGTATCCCTTTGACAAAAATAAAGCAAAACAAGCGTGCCGTCCGCTCAGCTGAACACCAAGCGCTACGGGCTCATCACCTGGTGTGATGATGCTCCCTCCGTTCCGCGGGGTGGCCGCTCTGGTGCTGGGGACGCTGCCGCCAGGAGGCGACGGGTACAGACACAGACACGGACACCGGTACCGACACCGGACCGCAGCCGCTGCCCATCGCCCACCAGCTCGCCTCGGGGCTGCCCCTCAGCACAGCAGGTTGAAAACTAACCGCGCCCCGGAGAGAGCAACCTGGCTAACAGATACGCTTCGGCTCTTATCTATGCGACGGGTTTACTTAGCTACTAATTAATTACAAATGATTTAATTACTATTTTTCCGCGCACAATTAGAGCGGTGGAGCATCCTTCACCTCCCCTCCTTTATCATGCAAAACGAGACGCTCCGTGCGGCTCGCCAAACAGCCGCCTCTCCCGGCGTTCCGCCAGCGGTTCCCGCACCCCTCGCCCCGCAGCGGGGACCCGCAGAACCCCGTGGATGCCCTCCGGCGGCGGGACTGAGCCCGCTGGCCGCCGACCCCGCCGCCCAGAGAGGCGTGCGCGGCGCCCGCGGTCAGCAAACGGCATCCTCGGAGTCCCGCACCGGGAGCTGCCTGCGGAGCATCGCCTCGCCCCGCGGGCACTCAGCGCTGGGGACACCGGGCGGGCGGCGAGGGGCTCTCCGCGGGCAGGACAGACCCAGCTCCGTCGAGGGGCTGCGAGGGGACGAAACCTCCCCGCGGCCGCTGCGGGCAGCGACGGGCAGCGACGGGCAGCTCGGGCTGTCCGCCCGCGCCGCCGGGGGAGCGGCGCGGAGCTCCTTACCTGGAGCCAGGCACAATCCCCAGAAAGTTGCAGCGAGGAGGGAAAGCCGCATCCTCCCGTAGCCGCGGCCGCCGGGCTGGCGTGCAGTCGCGAAGGGGCATCAGAAGCAGGGAAGAAGCGGAGACGCCGCGCACTTGTGCCGCTTCCCCGCCGCCTCCGCTGCGGGAGCGGCGCCCCGGGAGCAGGCGGCGGAGCCCGCCCGGCTCCCGCTCTGCCCAGCCCCGCGCCGCGCTCCAGCCTCGCCGGAGTTGAGCGCTGAGACTGAAAGAAACTGTAGGAGAAAGCGAGGGCTGGGGGGCGGCTCCCCCCCTCCCGCCCCCAGCACCATGTGATGCCGGCGGAGCGGGGCGGGGATCCCCACCAGCCGCCCCGCACTTCGCTGGGCGCACTCTGGGGATGGGAAGAGTTCAGCGAGGGAGGTCTCCTCCCTCGCTTCTGCCCCCGCATTGCCAGCTCGGCGTGCGGCTCGCACGGCGCTGCTGGGGGATCCCGCGATCCTCCGCCCGCCGGGGCGGCTCGTTCGCATCCCCCGCCCATCCCTCCCCTCCGGGAGCGGGGCACAGACCCCGCGCGGTGGCTCCGCTCAACCCGGTCCTCTCCGTGTCCCCGCCTGCCCGAAACCCACAGGTGGCAGCCGGAGCACTGATGGGCCGGGCCCCGCTGCGAGGCGTCGCTCGTCTCCCGCAAACGCCTCGCAGAACCCGCGTACCCGGGAGGGGCCGCGCGTCTGCACCGCTCCCTCCCCCCGACCCCCTGGAAGGGAATTCAAGCACGACAAAATGGGGGAGAGGGGCGCGGTAGCCGCGTACGTGCCGGTGCGGCGGGCAGTCCCCCACCTCCTCCGCGGACGCGCGGCGGGATGGGGGCTCGGAGGGTCCGGAGGCGGGGGGAAGAGGGCTGAGGCCGTGGGAGCTGATGGTGGGTTGGGATGGGGTAGTCTGAAGTGGTGGGATCCACTGACGGGTCGAGATGGGGCGATGGGAGCCGGGGAGGGATGGGGTGGGCTGAGGCGGCGGGAACGGCGAGGAGCCGTCGGAGTGCCGGGCAGAGCCCTCCCCGGCGGAGGGAAGGGCGACGGAAGCAGCAAGAGCAGCTCAGGATGCTGCGGTCGTCGATGCTGGGATGGTCTTTTCCGCCTTGTTGCGACCCAGCCCGAGGGGGTGGTTCGTTTCCTCCCCGGATAACCACGTAATTTCTCCGTGATCGTTTCACAGCCTTACTGAGATGAAGAGTCTGAATTAAGCTTAAATCGCTGTTTAAAATCCCCGTGTCACGAATTCCCCTAAACGCCCGAACCCCGCCTACCCCGGAGCGGGAGCGGCTCGGCGGGTACCCCCTGTACCCCCCTGGGCTGGCTACGCTGATTCCCACCCTGAGCCCACCCTCACGTTCAGGGTGTCATACCATCCCCTTCCCAAAACGCCTCTGCAGGCACAAGTACGCAAGAAAAGTTTTATTTACAAAAGATGTTTCAATGAAAATTTCTTAGACGTCGAAAAAGACGATGCAATTTTAAGGTAGAAATGACTTAAAATATAACAAATTGCACAAAATATTAACACTGATCATATAATATTTCAAAGATTAACAGGCATGTGCTAAAGAAACTATAGAGTCTAGAAATACCCCAAATATATCTAGTTTACAATTGCTGTACAAAAAGCAGTTATAAATACTTCACAGCTAGAAAAAATACACAGAACCTTTGAAATAGACTTTCCCTTACATATAAACAACCTCTGTAGAAAAAACAAAAACACCCAAAACAGGCCCTGCTCCTAGATATGTTTGAACTAGTACTGGTTAGCACCAACATATTATTGTAGTGTGTCACAAACAGGAGTTGTTTCGGTTTTTAAAAAATAGTTTCAGTATTTAGAATTTAATTAAGACCAAACAGAGACTACAAAAGATACACGGTATGGTACATTCATAATTTGATGGCAAATGAGTACAGAGGAGGTGGAAGTTGAAAAACTATGTTGCAGTCAGAAGCACAGGGCAGTTTATGTAGTTCTCATTCCTACAAGACTCCCGTTTGTGTCAGCAGTGAATTGCTTTGACCCTGATCTCTCAAACAGTTATGTGCATGATTGATGAAGCCAATGCCAGCAGTATCAAGACTTTTAATCTATTCATTTTCTTGCCATGTCAAAAGTCAAAACCCTTTTGAAATAAGACACCTGTTGTGAACTGAAATGCATGCCTCCCTAGATCAACTGTATGGAATTGCACTAAAAGTAAAAAATAAAACATTTTGTAAAACAGAGTCCATGAAAGTTTATTGCAGACAGTCTGGCAGGCTCAGGTTTATCGTAACGCAGTGTTTCTACATACAGTCTTAAGACTAGAACAATTATAAACCTTTTTTAAAAAATCTACTAATTTTTCTTGTTAATATTAACATCAATTTCTTTAAGTTAGTAATATGCCATTACAGGAGCATAGCACCAATGTAATATTTATTGCTGTCGTGTATCCCTACAAATATATTTTCCCAAGGTATTTACAACTGTACAAATATTCACAAAAGTGCAAAATTAAGACTTTATTCTGTGTAAGCGCTCACTGTGTTCAGCGTTGAGTCCTACATGCCACCACGCCGCCTCCCTGCCTTATTGCTGTGTGGTGGGAAATCAGAACACCCTGCCATGAGTGCCACGATCCAGAGGGGGAATTTTCAGCAACCGTCTCTTTTTCCCCCCTCACTCCTTGCTCGCCTTCAGGTCCGTTGTGTGCTGCCGTCACAGCCCACTGGGAAGTGTCTCTACACGTCGTTGGAGCCTTGGCTGGCGCAAGAGGAGAAGCTATCATACAGGGAATCACTCAAGGATTCCAAATTGTCCACTTCGTGCTGACCCGAGCTATTTAAGGAAGCTTCTTCTTTCTTCCCATTTTCTTCCCTTTGTCCTTCAACCTTGTTCAGACAGTTCTTCTCTTTTTCTAATAAAAGCACGTTATTGCTGTTAAATTTATTGAGAGACTCCAGGGACATTTTAGATACTCTGTTCTGGGAATCTTCTTTTGTTTCTTCAGTTTGCTTCAATTTCTGTAATAAGTGAGGTAAATATTAGAAACATATTTCTTATAAAAATAAAGTTATCCTATTGTACACCATTAATTACCATCTTTCCAAAGTTCACAGGGTGAAAGGAAATAGACTCTTAGACACTTAAATATCTGTTATGATTAAATAGAACATTAGAGTCCATTTTAGGATAAATCAGAACTTTAATGATTCTGCTGAGACAAACAGGACTCCATTTATGTAACAGTTAAGTGCTATTAATGTCATAAGTAGCAGATCCCGGCTATGCACATGTTAAACTTCTCCAGCATCCTCACAGCAATTTACATTTTCTCCTGTACAAATACTTCGGGGGGTATGTTTAAACAGGTATTTGTTTAAGTAGAGTTTAAAAAAAAAAAAAGTGCAGACGAGAAAACAACATTTTCCATAAATCAAGGATGCGAATGAAACTTGCTAGGGAATAACCTCACATTTTGCATGTGCAAGGCTATTGATTTTCACAGACCCAAACCCTCTCTAACAGACAAGAAAGCAGCAAGACAGGAAATTATACTGAACTGGGCCGATCCCCACAGACCAGAATCAATCAGATATTGGCCAGGCCTACTCGGTGAAGTGGTGCAATTCTGTGGTAACACTGGACAATGTATTAGCACATTATATTAAAAACGCACAGTAGGATTGTACCAGAGCAATTTTATCCCTTTGTTAGCTACTGGTATTTGCAATCAGAGCCCTGACCAAGGAATCATTAGGGAGCTGTGTAGGGAGCAGCTCAATAAAAATGACCTGCTGTTCGTATACAGGGTGTTTCAAAATCTGAGTAACTGACTCCTCTCACAGATAATATTACCACAGAAATACGGGATAGCATTCAACATTTTACAATCAACATTCAATAACCTCTTGGACAGATAAGATTCAAGGATTCTGAGATAAGCCATCAGAGTGCAAAGCCATTCCTCATTTTTGGTAGGGCCATCAGATGTCAAAGACTGAATCAGTAAATTACTGTAAATCCAAGACATTAATATTTTGTTTTAGATAGAAAATGAAATGGCATTTTAAGCACACTGAAACCATAGCTTGGGCAGAAGTATGGATGCTGTGGATCATTACATACACAGTTGTAAAGGATCATTAGAATTTTTGAAGAATTCAAGTTCCAAGTCAGTCAAATGTTGTGCATGCTGTGCTGTTTCTCCTTGGAAATCTTGGGCAAGAGAAAGACAATTTGTTACATAGTTTGATTGCGTGTTTTTATGGCTAGTTAGCTAAAAATTGAAATGCCAGTCCAATGACTGTTTATGCTCTGATCTTGTCATATTTCATAAGCTGACCATGCATGGATTAGATTAGTATTTTTAGCAAATGTTTCAAGCAGACTTAAGCAAAGCAACAGGAGACCCTAAAGTCTTAGTAAATGAAAATTTTCTGTTTGGTTCACTAATTAATCTTCAGTCTAAAAGGTTTTAGGGCATGTTATGTTGGATTCTGATTTTAGATGACAGTTCAAACCAAGGTCTTCAATATCTGTAATTATAATGTTTTCTGAGATAGAGGAATATAACCCTTGGTAATGGGAATGAACACAAATTTAGGACCCTTCAATAGAAATTTTTCAGAATTTCAGCTTAAAATGTTCTTCCCTTTGCCCTCATTTAAAATACTGAAAGAGTTGTTTCACTTCTCTGTAGGCCAGATGAGAAAATTCTTAGCCATGGTATCAATAACACATGTTAGCACTTTTTGCTCTTCAGAGTACAAAACCTAATATATTTTATTATATGACAGACTAAGTGACATTTCTTTGTCTGTATTTTTCCCACTTCACAGCTTTCTTTGGATAAATTGGATGTGACCACTTAGCACAGACTTGGGGCTGCAGGACTCAATACTGGTGTTAGTAAGGTCTGTGATAAAACTCCTGTTGATTCAAATGGAGACAATTTTGACTCCTGGGCAGGAGGAGCACATACTCCTGGAGAATTTGCAGAACAGAGCATTTTGGGTGAAGCATCACAATAAAAGTAGGATTTTTGCTATCCTACCGAAGGATAGCACAGGAAAGACAGGGCTGAATTCATTGGTATATTCTGCATATATGTATCCATAATTTTTTATACCCCACAAGCACAACCTAGACTACAATCCTACTTTAATCACACCCTAGGTTCTCATTTAATATAAAGATAACAGTTTATAAAATATTTTAGAGAAACTGCAGAGAATAAAATATTCTCTACAAATTCTAAGCAAAATCATTGTGTCAAATGAAACTGAAAGGAACTGAAGCCCATCAGTGAAACCTACTGGCAAAAGGTATACGCTGTATGAACAGTATATCTATGATACATCAAGAATTAAAGTT